AGTTATTTAGCCACAATTACGAACTGTGCTTCGTCAGTTTTGTATTTGCGAAGCGCTAATCACACCAAGTGATTTCAATTCAAGTTCCTAAGCTAAAGCCTCCGCACGTTTGAACACACCCTTAGCTATACCTACTTAACACGGTCTGGCTGCTAGCGGAGCCCCGGCATTGACAAGGTATGAAGATACTCGGACATTTCGCGAGTTCGCGGAGCTGCTCGCTGGACCCTTGTTCGCCCTAGACAGTCCGCGCCTCAGTTGGCGATCGCGCGCGCATCATAAATATTACTCGCTTCGCTTTTTATGTCAATTTTACTTAATTTGATCTCATGTAGTATACAATTACTACTTATTTGAATGTATAGACTTTATAACGTTAGTACGAAGTGATGTATTTACCTCCAAAACACTAATACACACTCCATCTCTATTCAACAAATACCAATGAGATAATTATATTGATCCGTTCGCAATAAAAGGTATTGAAGCATACCGCAACAGTCTCAATTGCCATTCTAGAAGTGTCTTATTAGTGAATAAACAATACAAATTATTTATATTCTGTTTGTATTTTTAATATAATTAAAATCAATGCTAGGAATGATTAAGGAGAGCTGGCAGTAACCTCTTGAGATGTAAGGTTAACGGCTTTCGAATACAAGGCTCAGCAGCCATACTAGGAGGCTGCAGAAATATGACTTTGATACAAATAATAAATATTTAAATATTATATCTACAAATAAATAAAATTAATGTTTGTTTGTAATATTGAACTAACCGCTTTTTGCTATATGCATATAAATATATGGCTGGTAGCTAATTAAATGTACTACGAATTAACATCGGCTACTTTTATTTTATAAAAATGCCGAAGAAGTTGCGGATTCAGCTAGTGTAAAATAAAAATTCACAAAAAGGTATGATTCCGGCCAGGATCGAACTGGCGGCCTTCTGCGTGTAAAGCAGATGTGATAACCACTACACCACGGAACCAGTTGAAATAGTTGCCAAAATAACTGTTCGGTTAATTTGTGTTATATTTCTGAACTAAGTTTTGGCTTCCCACTGTTAATCTTATACTTATTATATTATATAAAGCGTTTGTTTGAACACGTTAATCTCAGAAACAAATGGTCCGATTTTTTGTATTGGATAGTCCTTTTATTGAGGAATGTTATAGGCTATAAAACATCACGCCGCGACCAAAAGAAGCCGAGCAGAGCGGCTGAAACTGTGCGGAAGTATCTAGTTTTTACATAAAACTTAACACGCGACGCAAATGTCTTATCTGTGTCTGTTAGTTGAATGGTTTGTATCTACCTACCTACCTACCTACTACTGCTGAATTAGTTTAATTGGTTTTCAATCACTACAAGCCAATTACTAAACTATTAGCGCTGCAAAGAAACCTCATTAACTTGTGGAGCAACAGAACGAGTTATTTTCAATTTAATTTACATACTTCGCGGTAAATTATTTTTAGGTTCAATGCGTGCATAATTTTTTTGCACTAAAATTCATTCTTTTGTTTTGACGATTAGCGTTAGCTACGGGTTTAATATTTTTATGGGAATAAATAAATAAAATAAAATTAAGCGGTAATGATTGATTAAAAAAAATACGAAGCCGCACAGCGTTTAATAAAAAATGATTTTGAATAATATTAACAAAGGTGTTTATTTATATTTTCAAAGGTTGTATAGGGAAATGACTTACCGTAGGGAGTTGCGAGTATCGACGCGAAGTGGTTGTCACAGCGGAGTGCACAGGAGTGTATCACGCGCAGGTTCACAGGTGACTGCAACAAGAGACCGCCGGCCGCGGCGCGAGCGCACTTATTCAGTCACAAAAACACCGCCCTGTGCGTTAACAATCTGTTTTTCCGTGTAATGCACAAACACTTTTCGCCAGTAGGTAGTGAGGTAGAGTACCTACTCACCCTATAAGGAAACTCTCTTGTAATAAGTATTGACAACTGTTTAAGGTTGATGTGTACGAAAAGTAAGTACCTACTACCTCAAGGAAATTTAAGTATCAGATAGGTACCCCGTACTTCATAGTTGAAGACTAATTTATTTATGATTTAAGACGAGAATTACTCTGATATGAATGGCAATGCCTACTTTAACTCGACACAACTTGGGTGCCTCTTGTTGAGTGTTGGCTATGGTTAGGTACTACTGTTAGTAATAGGTACACCAACAGCCTAATGTAACAGCCACATTTCACTAGAAGTGTTAAGTATTCTGCTGCAGGGACAGCGATGTTTGGAGCAGATGTCGATTATGATCTGGAAGAACACACAGGCAACTCTCTACTCCTTGGTCTTCTGCGCTAGCAGGGCTTCGCCTACGCGGGCTTCACCATACTTTATCTAAATGAAAATATTATTCAAAATTGGAACATTCTTTGAATGTACAAAAAGTAATCTGAATAAGTGGAAAAATATTTTTAATAATAGGTACAGCTCAATCTGTGGTAGCTAGTTCTACTATAATATATATTATAGCTATGTTTGTGACGGCCTTAAGAGTCGTTAAATAATTCAGAAAACCATCGCATTAGTTTCGGTTAAAATAATAACGTCGTGCTCACTGTTACATATGCGCTGACGCACCTCAGAGACACCGTTTGATTGTAATATTTAATGGAATTGATTTTATAAATAAACTAGCGACCCGCCCCGGCTTCGCACGGGTGCAATATGTATATACATACAAACCTTCCTTAAGAATCACTCTATCTATTAAAAAAACCGCATCAAAATCCGTTGCGTAGTTTTAAAGATCTAAGCATACATACGGACATACAGCGAAAGCGACTTTGTTTTATACTATGTATTGAAGCTAGCTTAAATAGTACAGTTAAAGAATGTTTTAATTTAAAAAAAACTCGATTTTTCTACAATATTTACGACCCCAGTTTCAGAGATTTCGTCATTCTTCGTAATTTTTTTTCCACCACAAACCCAAACGAAGTCGTATTCCAGTTTCTTGGGTTTTAGTCGCGTAGCAGCATCATGTCTTATTTTCTTGGAATAGATGTTCAGCAACAAAGAGGGGACAGCTTTCACGGCGGCTATTCCGAGATGGCTTGAATTTAATTTGGTTATTGGGTTGTTTCATTGAACTTCTGTGATGCTGCCAAAAAAGCATCACGTACGTATCCGAAGAACTGATCTTAGTCGTGGATTCTGTGGGTCCCTTCTAGAGACTCTGGTGCATATTAATATCATCATAACATCACGGCTTTTATCCCCGATGAGGTAGCTAGAAATAGACGTTGCGGACTTAATGACACTGTGCAATGTAACACCTACTTTTCACTATTTATGTTATGAATCACATGTAATAGGGTGTGAGTCTGTTGCCATATATCGGGCAAAATTCCAGACTCCATGCTGCACTGAGATTAAGAAAAAACCTGTAATAATTTGCCCGACCTGGGAATCGAACCCAAGACCCCTTGCCCAGCAGCCGCACTTGCGACCACTCGGTTAACGAGGTAGTCATATTATTATAGGTTTTCGGTTTTGTGTTCAGAGGCCTTGGTACAGCATTTCAATGTTACTTGACCGAGAGTGCTGCTCCAATGCATTCATTTGCTGTTCTAACATCTTAACATCGTTCTGTAGATCATTCTCTTCTGTTTCGAGTTTTAGCATTATTGATGACTTTTTTCCTAGGCTGCTTTCATTTCAATCATTTTCATACTTATCATTAAAAAATTACAGCATTTTTTAAACTCTGAAAGCGTATCGTTGATCATATTGAATTGGTCTTTAATAAGTGCTTTAATATTTTTTAAACGAGCAGACGTATCACCTGATGGTAAGCAATTGGCGCCGCCCATGGACATCCGAAACACCAGAGGTGTTATGAGTGCGTTACCGGCCGTTTGGGGGTTAGGAATTTGAGGATTATTGGGAATTCGGGGATTGGGGTGGGGGGTAATTGGGCCTTTGGTTGGTAATAATAATGAGCTGTAACGCTACATTCATCTCTTGCCTAATAATTTATCTCAATAAATTACTTGAGATGTCCGCACGGGACAAGTGATTTTCATCATGACACTTTAACTAAACTTTTGCTGAAAGTTATTTGCTTTTAATTGAAAACACAAAAAAAAACAGATTTTTATTAATGAGTGGATTATTCTATGACAGCTTATATTGTCAATTTTTATGAATCCATGTTCACGGAGGTTCAATTACCTCCCCAATGCCCCAATCTCCTCAATCCCCGAATCCCCAAAGGGCCGCCAACGAATTAGTAACGCCTCTGGCGTTTCGTGTGTCCCGTGTGCAGCGCACGTTGCTTACCAACAATACTTGGGAAGAAATCTTTACTTGAAGTCATTAATTATTCCCCCTATTATTATTAAATATACTATGTTATTCTAGTAGCTAGTATTAAATTTTATTTATTAAATTTTATCTTGCAGTCACCCTGCAAGTTGCCTCGTTAGTAGTAGCCGCAGCTGCATCTGTGGAACAAAGTCACAGGTTCGAATCTCAAGTTGTTTGAAAGATTAGTCAACTCAGCAAGTATGTAGTACTACTGAGTCTCAAATTGTATCTAGTTATTATGATAGACTCACTATGACTATGACCATGATATTTAAAAGTACTAGAAGTTCATAGTCTAGTAGTGCATGACGGTAAGACTTACATTAACATTAGCACACCGCCGACCCCTTGGGAATTGGGGCTTTTACCTTTCTACAATTACACATAGTACCTAAGTATTTATTTACCTACCTCAAATATTAGTCACCCTCAGGTTAACTCGGCGACATGTTATTCATTGACGGTGCTATTTTCCCCAATGTCGTCTCAATTGATGTGACGTCTTAGGGATATCCGTTATCCCGTTTCTCCGTCACTTTTCCACAACAACAAAAATGTTGTATCTACGAACGACTGTTGTACTACTAAACCACGTACCGCTTGCTCACGTCAGGGAAAACAAAAGGATAAATCGGGGAAAAAAACTCAAGTGTGAATTTCAAGAAATATTTTATTTATTACTACGATCCTAATTTTCACTCAGTTCTTCAACTTTGTTTACAGGTCATACACACGCGCCGGGTATAAGTAACTATTATTATAGGATCTTCTATTCGTACATATCAAAACTAAAATCTATCTTCATTCTTAGTCCTCGTTCCTTGAAAAACTATAAGATTTACCTAATTTATATTGTTTTGAATAAAGAAATAGGCTTTGACTTGTAATAAAACGTATCTTTACTATAATTGTGAAAAAATAATAAAACATATCTTTATTGTAGCACCTTGTGGGTCTCTTTTTTGCCTTACTATTACTAAGTAGATAGGATCATTTTGAGTACTCTCGCGACGGATGCACAGGCCGACAGGTCCACCTGCATCATATTACAAAGTACAGGTATCACGTCAGACCAACCTGAATTGTTACAGTATACCATACTGTTACAGGATGTCTTTAAAAGTTATACTGACCTCTGAGATTATTTCATTGTGTCTTCTCAGAGTAGTCGTTAGGAAATATCGAAACGGTCTAGTTTCACAACCAGACGTGATAAAGTTATCCGATATATATATTAACAAACTTACTGTATAGTTAAATAAAGAGAGTTCATCAAACTTCAAGACAGAGGTCTGTACTTTGGTGTGCGTATTTAAATGTGAACGACACAGAATGTTCTCAGAATTAATGCAAATAATTTTGACTTCCAACACAAAGTTTTACAATTCAGCAAATAATATAAGTTGAAGAGAAGTTGAATTATTAATTTTATTCCTAACGATAGAGTAAATTTAACGACACACAAAATATGCTTGAAACGGTGCGGCAACCACCCATAAGGATACTTACATCTATGCAGTATACATGCATACCTAAGTTATATTAATTATTAAAAATAGATTTACAAAACATTGCAATATATAAGACAGTATAGTGACGAAATTGGAGACAAAACTATGTTACAAGATACTTAGGCTTTTCTACGAGTAGAAACATTCCATCTGCCTGCACGCACTAATTAGATTAAACGAAAAATGCTTGTTTAAGTATTTTTGAATAATATCAAGTGATTAAGTATGCTGCGGTTGCTGCAAATAATCTAGCGATAAGGAGTAGCACACCTAGTCTGATGATAGCAATTAATTAAAACAAATTAATATGACATCCTAACAAGACTAATTTCAATTTATATGGGTTGTCTTACAAATTAGTCCAACTAGTTCAGAGCACGGCGGCACTCCGTTAAAAGGTTAAATTATGATTCCTTTTTTCTGAATGGACGTAGTTGTCTAATAAGCGCGTCTGGCTGATTTAACGGCGAGTACTAAACAGGAAACCTGGCATTACAGCATTACAGCACCATTACAGAGCGCGCCGTGAGGTAATCCGGCGCTCGGCGACACCCGCCGCCGGCCGCGCCTCGCTACACTTGCAGCTGTTTGTGGTACATCATACACTTGATATCGCGGCTTTCGCTATTATCCTATTATATAATTTACATACTCTTCAATTTCTTACAAATAATAACATGTTTCTTTACCAGTTTAAGTATTAAGTAATATAGCATTTCATTCATTATAATTATACTACCAGAATATAATATTGTGGCTAATAGATCCATTAGTATTATATTTGATTAGAACATCAATATCTGTTTAACATCAAGAGTCCGATATACATTTTATTAATATCCAACAAAAACACAACAAAGCAAATCTGTATAATACTTCAATCTTATAAGGAATTAGCACTTTATGAAGTACAATAGTTTTATGATCTGTACTGTATATAAAATAAACAATTTAAATACACTTAAGAATTAATCCAGTAAATCTACATCGTCCGACAGATCCTGAAACAAAACAACAATATCAGTACACGCAACACACTATACCACTCGTGGGGCTACCGTATTATTGGTCACCAGAATGTAGCAAGAAGGTTTTTGTCCTATCACTGCAGCTGTCAGATATTGAACGTCCAATGGTGTGACAATAGCTAATTTCCCTATTGGACGAAAAACGAGAGGACCACACTAGTTAGTAACCCCATTCACTGATTAACGTACAAACCCTGAGCACACAAGCAAACGATATGGAAACCACTCGACAGATATCATCATCGCAACCGCATGGATTATCTATAGATGCTGACGCACGCGCCCTTAGAACACGCGCACGCGCTATCCCGTGTGCTTTGATCAATAGCACTCATCAGTACATTGGAAAAAATAAGAGCAGGCTATCACTGCTACTTATCAATGCTTCTTCGTAAGAAAGACATGTTTTATGTGTACATTAACATAACATCACGCCTTTTATCCCGAAGGGGTAGGCAGAGGTGCACATTATGCCACTGTACAATGTAACACCCACTTTTCACTATTTATGTTACGAGTCCCATGTAATAGGGGGTGAGCCTATTGCCATATACCGGGCACAATTCCAGACTCCGTGCTACTACTGAGTTTTTTTTTAAAACCCAGTAATACTTTGCCCGACCCGGGAATCGAACCCGAGACCCTTTGCTCGGCAGTCGGCCAACGAGGCAGTCATGTGTACATTATGTAGTCTTTACACTGATAACATGGTTAGTACCATGTTCAATAACCATCAATTTGCATAAACACGGCGGACTTATAGCCGGAATGATGCAGACCAAACCAAATCCTTATTTAGAGATGTTGGTGTAATTTCTTGTCTAATACAAATTAGCATGGTCAATATAATGATGGTCAGGTGGGTCATTCTGAGTACATATCAGTGGCAATAACCTAACGCCTGCTTGACATCTAACGCACACAATAATACACAGTCGTATTCGAGTACCCTTTGCTTTATTTAACAAATAAAATAATTAACTAGGAAACCTGACCAATTTCGGCACGTCCTGCATAGTGCGTCGAATACAAAATGTCACAATTAATGAAAACGAAGTGAATGCAAGAAGTCACCGCAGTCGTGGGATTGGTTCCTTCAGTCCCTAATAGTAATACCTACAGTGTACAAGGGTCAAAAAAGATGTAATAGTCTAAGAGCTACTGAACTGAATCCACCAAATAATATAATGTTTCTTTCTTCCGTTGTTTCTTCCTAACTAGCATCGCACACTGGGTATCAGAGCTGGTCTAATTAGAGGACCCGGTGCCTCCTTTTTGTTGACGTGGATGGTTACAGTGAGTAAGATTCACACATTGCTCAGTCATTCTTCTCAAAAGAACTAAGTAACTAAATTACATGGATTGGAGACAATGTCTTGTTCTTGGTTATCGAAAAATTAGCTGAGGCAGCTGTGATACATATAAGCTTAACCTCTGGGTACTTACTCTTGAAACCAATCTCAATGTCAATGCAACTTCAATGCAATAAAATCTCAATAATTATTCAATGTCAAAATTATACAACTCCTTTCGTAGATGTTAAAATAGCATTCAGAATATGGAATATTTAATACTGCCTCATTGCCTCATAATAATATATAAAATAAAGACTGCCTCATTGGCCGAGTGGTCGCAAGTGCGACTGCCGGGCAAGGGGTCTCGGGTTCGATTCCCGGGTCGGGCAAAGTATTACTGGGTTTTTCTCAGTGGTAGCACGGAGTCTGGAACTGTGCCCGGTATTTGGCAATAGGCTCACCCCCTATTACATGGGACTCATAACATAAATCGTGAAAAGTGGGTGTTACATTACAGTGGCATTAAGTGCCGTAATGTGCACCTCTGCCTACCCTTTCGGAGATAAAAGGCGTGATGTTATGTATGTATGTAATATGGAATATAAATCCAAACTCAATACCATTGAGTTTATTAAATATCTACACAATACGGATACAATAGCTTCTAGTATTGTAACACAAGAGTACGAAATTTTACAATACCAATGTCGACCGATCGGAATTGGATTCAAGAGTAAGCCCCCTGGTATGTAGGAGCTACGTGAGACACAATGCGTTTCCTATTGTGCCTCATATATCGACAAACAAGAGGTTAAAATATGCTTGATGCAAGTGGTGTATCGTATCAAGCGGTTGCGGGGCGGGTCAATCGTGACCATTTGCTACTTCTTCTGTCGCATCACGTGTCTGCAACTGACGGGTCGCTGAGGAAGATCAACAGGCGGCCGTAGCCCATAAACCCTTTATCGTGACAGCTCTACAAAGTCTTTTCTGAGGGACATTGAACCCCTGGCTAAGAAGGCTCTTTAATGTTTACCAGGTGCAGAGCCAGTTTCCAACGGCGTGGAAAAGTGCAGTAATTAGTTCTACTGGAGAAGGATTGGCGTCCCACAGACTGACCGTCAAGTACTTAGCTAGCAAGAAACAAACTTAGCAAAATGCCCGCCGGTTGACGGTAACTTACTATACGCAGTAATAACAGTTCTACTACTTTATATTAGAACCCTGCCTCACTACGACGCCATGACGACGTCGACAACGACACAAAATGCGTTCGAAAACCGTCCAAAATAGCGACCGACCGACTAGTGAGCGAGGGGCATGCGTTTACTCGTGTACATTATAGTGGCCACATCCCCAGAATGCCAGTCTAGCAGTAGCGTAGAGCTATCACTCGGGATCATGTTTCTAATTTGGCGATAGAGCCAAAGCCTTGTATTAGTATAATTTGTATAATTGTAATTGTGAAAATTATTATGGTGAAATTAATTTGAAATTTTTATACTTTGCACGCTTGCTCGCAGGCAGAATACAATGACTTTGAGGCTGTAAGATCTTCCATTGTAAATATGTATTCTTGCAAATAAATGAATTTGAATAAATTTGACTTTTGTAATGAAAACAAAATTTAGGTACTTTAGTGGCAGTAGTTTAGTTAGATAGAAACTGTAATTAGTACTGGTCTACATTGTCACCATATTGTTATTTAGTTGTTTGTTGTATAATTATGAACCTTAATTGTTACTTTGATACAGAATGTAGCAATTCGTGTGAAGTACTTATATCGTCAGACTGTTCAAAGCTTCAATCTGAAGTAGACTGACTTCTAGTTAAATAAACGCCAGGCTCATCGAAGTGAATAGAAAATTCAATTTATGAGATTATACGATTGAAATAATGTTTCGTATGTCCACATTAAACTATTTTTTCTCTTCTATTATCGTCTCGCGCGTTTCTTGTACACACGGTTATACGAGAGAATTGAGTGCCCATCGCCGCAATTATACACACGGGTGTACGAGAGTGTCTTGCACCGATTGGAAACTTTTTCTGTGAGGTATATTTTTAAGTTGCAACCCGTTCTTTATTTGATTGAACAATATAGTTAATTCGTTTTCTATTAAACCCGTGTATGAGACGCGCGAGAGGTTATTAGATTAACGAGTTTGCCGTTTGCCCAGAGCTGTTAACTTAAATGACAAAAAAAAGCAAGATAAACTTACTGCTTTTTGCAGAACCAATAATTACCTAGTCCTACAAGCTTTCTAACGTCCAAACTACACATAAACACATTAATATTTTTTCAGCGAGTATATTGATATTTATACCAATAAAAAATATAAAGCTAAGTGACGCTGGGCACAGTCTCGTGCACTCGGGTGTAACATACCACGTTTTCGACCGTGCCGTCGAGGACGATATCTTCGATCTCCCGCTCCAGCTCCTCCATGTCGAGAGAGTCGCGCCGTTTCTTCAGATCCTGCTGCGCCGCGGTAGTCACTGTACTGTCCGGCACCATGCGGGAAGGACTGCAACATACATTCTCATATAAAATACTGTAGGTAAATAAATTCTTAATAACTTAAAGTCCTATATCCACTAGATGAAGCAGAGGACGTATTCACAGAGTATGATGTCCAATGGTAAATTGTACATGAATTCTCTCGTTAGTCAAGCGTCAGCATTTCTGGGTCACGGAAAGTATTACTGAGATTTACTTTTAGAAAATTTTCAGTGCACGCATGGAGTCTAGAATTTCATCCAGTGTATGACAAACCTTGCTGATTACTGCTGTGTAAAATTGTATAAAATAAAACAAACGAAAAACATTACTATTTTAATTTCTGCAATAAAGGCTTTCACAAAAACAGCTGTCGCTAATAATTATTAAATTATTAATATTTATTAATAAACTGACCTATCATTGCTTGTATCTCGGTCTTCGAGACCAAGATCATTTGAGCTGTCTGCAGGAGACCGCACCAGGGTAGTGGAGCTCAGCTTAAAGCCGCGTTGCTCGGCCTCCTCCTTCTCCGTGGCAAGGTTACGCTCAAGGTTGCAAGTCTTCGAGTCGAACGGCAAGTTTGCTAGCAAGCAACTTTGTTCATACCCATACTCGCGCTGAAATCTCTCCAACTCCAATGATTGCTGGAATTTTAGAAAGAGATATTTTTTTAGTATAGGTAATTAACTTTTAATACTAACTTTTTAATTATGACCCAGGGCCAACCTCATTGAAATCAATTTTCGGCTTGGTTAGCAGTTAGCACTAACATCAAAACTTCAAACAACAAAAGAAAATATCAAAAAGTTCATATAAAATGCATCATTACAATTAAATAGACAATAAGGTGTTTTCGTACCGAGAATTCAGGGAACAAGTTCTCATACTGCTCCGGGTCGGCGAGAGATTGGCCGAGCTTTGCGTTGCTGGCGCTAGTGGACTCACGCCATAGCTTCACCACTTCTGACATCTTCGATGGAATGTATGATCTAAAATATGATGCAATCAACTGATAACTGACCCATACTCCACATAGTATCAATTAAAATGTTAGCCGATCAATCTTCTGCAGTATATTAAAGATTCCAGTGTATTGCGTTTACCTGGCAAAGAAGGCGGCTTCAGGCAGCTTGTCCCGTTGTATGAGCAGCTTGAGACAGGATTCGAGATCATTCAGCATAAAGTAGGCCACGAATGAGATATTCTCTGCGTTTTCCACCGAGGACATCTGTGCAACACTCTTCAACAGTTCTTTGTCGCCTGCAATAACATAAACCAGTGATAAAGTAACGCATTCCATCATGATTTGTTGTTTTAGTCCTTAATGTTTCTCAAAGAGATTTTCTCACCGGTACTAGCTGCGAATAGAAGGAGGGCACTGTAGTCCTTAGCACTCTGATAGCAGGCCTTGGTGAGTTCCGTGTCTGCGGCGGCGGCGGCGGCAGCTCCTAGCCGAGACCACCGCGCCGCTGAGGATCGCGACGTAGAACCCTCGGCCAATGCCGCCTCTTCAGCCAACTGCTTCGCTCTTCTAAGTTCGCCCAGTGAGAGGGCTAGCTCGAACTGGTGTTCGGGCTCTGTGGAGACTGCTAAAGCTTGTTGTTTGAAGCCCTGTAAAACACAAATTGTTATACACAGGCACTAAACGTTTAATAACGAATTTAAAACAAATTTTAGCAGCGATGGAGGGAAGAATTTAGTTAGATATTGAAGTAACATACTACGAGCATATGCAACTTACTTGTTTCTCTAGGAAGTGAGCGACCCTAGTGCGATGTTCTTGTGGAATGGTGGGCAGTACACGGTCTGCTGTCTCGAAGTCTGCGCGCATCACCGCCGTCTGGTACTCCAGTACCGACAGCAGCAGCGAGTAGGACACTATGTTCAACTCCTTGTCATTTAGGTACAGCCTGTAAATAACATGAGAATACTATATCTTGTTCACCTAAATACATGCACCTACGTGTGTGTATGAATACACATGTTTTTGTGATGAAATGATTTGAGTTGTCATTTTTTATGATGTTTCTCAAAAAAGTGGGTCCCGCGACTTCCCATTCTCCTTTTTGGTGAAATATATATGTTTGCTGTGCAACAATCGAGTTTACTGTTATCTGCCTCAGACTTATTATGATGATCTGGTGGAATGATATGGTGAAGGAAGAATAAGAATCCATTTGCATGATAATACTTAAACATGTATACCTGTTCTCCTTGGCGACGTATCCGAGGATGTACATGGTGTGGTCGAGGTGGGATATGGTGACGATCTCTCCGCCGACGTAGTAGTTTATTCTGTTCAAGGAATTCGTGTAGATGAAGCAGTCGCCTACCCATAGTCCTGTCTTTACAACCTCGTTCACTGCACCCACGACCTGGTGGCGGAACAGTCAATAACTTCTTCTCTTCCTCAAGCATTTGTGAAAGAAAGATATCGAGTAATTTAGAATATAATAGGTTAACATTGGTCAATAAATGTAGTAAGCTTACTGGATGGAATAAGGCGCCGTATACTTTATAATAAGTCAAGCCCAGCCTACTATTCAGCTGCAACTATGTATCCAAAAATTAAAATGTTCTTCAATCAATTTCAATCACAGGAATAAAATGTCAAACAAAAGTGAACTCTCTGTTCCCTGATAATTATACAAATCTGTTTCAATGTGACTATCAATTGAGTGAATTCATTTTTAACTAAAACCAATTCAATTTCTTTCTCTTTAAATATTGTTTAACTGTCCTGATGTTTAAATACTTAATTTACATGCACTGTACATGTGCATGTACTCTCTAGAGTCAACCATAAGTTACCCTTTACAAAAATATAAAAGTTATTGAACACAATATAAAAATTAGTCCTCAACAACGCAAGAAATAACTTTAGTTAAATAACGGCAACTCTATTACAACTACTAGTGTAACAGATAAGGCTCGCGCGACGGTTCACGTTCGCAGCCTTATCTATTACAACGCTGTTATCGCACCAACACGAACACATACATTAGACATTTAAACCTTTTACTAAATATCACTTTATTCAAAAATATTGTTAAATTTAGATACATAACTAGCTTCAGCCCGCGACTTCAAATCGACGCGCAATCCTGTTTTCTCGCGTCCCATAGAATATAAAAATCCTTTTTTCTGTTATAAGAACCATCTACTGGTAATAACCAACGCAACAAAACAAATCTGGAATCTGTCCCGCTGTTCACGTGCCATGGCGTGTCCAAAGGATATAAGGATTCATATTTATACCTATATATTTTTCATGATGAGAAACGTCCCAAATGAATATAGGTATCAGACAATAATTTTAATCATGTATTTTTTATTTAGAGCATTGAAAATTTCATGATTTTAAAAAATGAGATAATCACTTCACTCATTCAAATACCCCAAATATATACACAAGCCAATTTCGTGCGATGCCCACTAATCGGCTCCTATTGATTGAACCGTAATGTTTTTAGCCTATAGCGTAGCGTCCATAAATGTATGCAATAATTCGAACCAGTAGATCCGGAGATCAGCGCGTTGAAACAAACGAACTCTTTAGCTTTATATATTACAATAAACAAATTGAATAAAAAACTTCATCTAATAATACTCTACAACACATGCCATCAATGTTTGAATAAAGTGACGAATTAAAATAAATTGAATCTTAATTGGTTGATAACAAATTTAATGCTAACTCGATACTACATAATTTGCTAGCAGTATATTATGCCGACCCGTAACTTAGGATAAGTGTAGCAAGATGAAGAATGCTTCTAATCTCGTCATATCAGATTCAAAACAGTATTGAGTTGCAAATAGTGAAATAAGAAATAATTCGACATCAGAAAATACACTGTACAAAGAGCTACTCCATACGGCGACCAATAAGACCGGAACGTGTTGAAAATGGGTCAAGTCAGAGTACGCTCAATCAGTGAGCATGCATGAAGAGATTGATGAATGTAAATGAAGAAAAAAAGGAAAGTCGTAGCATTTGCATTCCAATAGGAAATTTCCTAAGTTTACCTAATAGGAGTAAGAGACGTTTTTGTGTAATGATACCTATTCATTCATACTAATTCACTCTTGCCTGGGAATTTACTTAAAACACAAAATAATTGTCTGGTTACCTCAAAAGCGTCTTCGATGCCGTCTTCTGTGATGTTGGAATTGGTTTCGCGAGCTCGCGTCACAACAGCTGCATTATACTTGAGCACGTAGTACGAGTCGTCAGCCGCCAGGCACACCAGGTTGCCACTCTCAGACCAATACACGTGTCGTGGTTGGATCTCGATCCTGGACAACGAGACAACTGACTTATAGCAGGATAAAGGAGTCCACGTAGAGTATTCTCGCGAACGATCCTTGTTTAGTAATCATTCTGTTATGTACTCGTGTAAAAATGAAAATGTGACGTAGTTACTCGGGAAGATATTTTATTAAACTTCGACTTTGAGACAGTAAATTATTGGAGAGAACACGTGTGTAAACAACATTCGCTATATAAACAAATAGTTCTTAATGCAATTCAATTCGCTGTTGTATATAGGCGTCCAAATGGCTTAGGTTTAACATTAGACATAATAGCAAGTATGAGGAGTGTTGCTAATGAAATTCTTAAATTAAAAGATATGCGATACGCCACGGCTTGCACAGCATCGTCAAAAAAATGACAATGACCATTTAAAAATGTCCTTGTAAAAACGCTAATATCACAACCATCTGTGGCGTCGTATCTCAATTAATATTGTAAATGCAAAAGTAAGTACATTTTGTTCAACTCTTATGCATAATGTCTGCATCAACTTTCGATGGATGATCAATGACGATCATTGTATTGTTCTTATTATTAAACACGAGACTATTTATAAAACTGTTGTTGTGATAAATTTGATAGGAAATCTATACAAACGCAAGCAAAGCTACGCAACGGCTACGGCTAGGCGGGCCAGTTGGGCGTATAAAGTAATTAGCTGCAGTCATAATAATATAGGTACACTTAATTAAACTACCTTAATTAACTTCATCATTACGTATTCTCACGCCTATATCCCATTGGAGTAGGCAGATATTAAGGAATGCCAATTGGTACACAGGTATGATATGGACAAATTGAAATATTATTCCTAAATCTGTGTTGCATTATTATTGATATCGGTGTTTTGGAAATGGCAAAGCAAAACTAGCACACATGTTTACTATGAAAATTGCTTGTGAAAGTTACCTGGTCCAATTCAACTTTACATTTGTCACATTTACTTATAGCTCACCTCGTTTACATTCGAGTAACCAGCTAGTCAGTGACTAAACTAAAAATAAATAATTTCGATTTTCCCAGAAACAGGATAGAGTTTGGATCAGGACACAGTTTGCCGAGCTCGCTAGCAATTATTTAACAGTATGACTATTAACACAACTGGCACAAGTATAATATGAAAATAAAACTTACAATTAAATGACATTCGCTAGGCATAGTACGTGATATGCTAACAGTCGTGCTTGAATCAGATTTCATCAGTGTCAATCAACTATTTTGAAAATTGTTATGATGTCTTGTCGTTTAGAAACTATTAATTACGTTTGTTATTAACTTTGAGATTATACTTCATTTTAGTTCTAGGTTTGAAAATACGAGGATGATTATAATAGGAATAAGCGAGACCGTCACATTTACCCAAACATTTCGCTTTGGAGCAAACTGCAGTCATTCGCAAAGCATGGTATTAGTTTTAGTGTAGAAGTAGCACGCTAGCAATACATCTTTTTATTTAATAATATACTAAATATTGCCATTTACAGGCAACATTTTCAGGCAATTATCAGGGTTAAATCTAATTTCAATTTAATTGAATTCTCTTTCATTTACACAAAACAGAATTAATTGCTGGCATAGCTTAGTCACTCATAAGAGCAATTTAAAACAAATTTGTCGCATAGCTACCTATCAACAATCATTAAGTTGCATTTGTAGTCATTGCAAGATACTAAGTATGTTTCCAGTTTGTAAATAAAAATTCCCGCAAATTCTCGTTTATTTTTCCAAGATAAAAGTTGATAGCCTAAACTGTTAGGCTGTCAACAGTGAGCATGATGAGTTCTACAAATGTTGGACATTTAGTCAATGTAATGATGGATGTGACCTTACCTTCTGATCAACTCCAGATTCTCCCAGTCATAGAAAGAGAATGCCACACCGCTGATAGACTTCACACCCAACATGAAACCGCCGTATATTCCTGAATCAAAAACAAAACAAATAAATAACACGAATTTACACTTAATTCGTTTTCAAAGCCAAGTAAAAGACTCAAAGTCAACTCATTAGACATGAGTATCAACCTACCTTCAGCTCCATACTCAGGCTTGAAGCTCTTTCTCTCTTTGAAGTTTTTGAACACCTTGATAGTGCTGGAGTTTTCAAGAGTCGCATATTCCGAGCTGTCAAACGCCCAGACGAACTCCTGTGCAGTTCCAAAGGCCTTGTTTCTAAGTGCCATGGCCGTGTAAATAATGTACTCGCCGTCGCCGCACACTACCACGAACCGCCCGTTCGGGTTATGCGCAATAGTCTGAGGGTAGATCTCACAGGAACCCATGTCCTTCGCCATCACTGGGACTCGCTCCCCATCTTTTATCTCAGTGCCTGGAATACATAATATTAAATGTAAATAGCAAACTTATCACACATGAATTTTGCTGTCAAAGAACAATAAACGGAAACAGTAGTGACAAGCACAAGTTGTTTACAAATACATCAACAAATTGTTTACCTTCTGGCAATGCCTTCAGGTTGACTTGCTGCATCTCAGAATGTTTCGCCCAAATAATCTTGCCTCCATTGACGTCCATGGAAATAGCGGGCTCCTCGCGACCCACCTTGATCATGATCGTGCCCTCGTCGTAACTGGCGAGCATAAACAAATACTGGATATGGATTTGTAAACAACACCATATTTACAAATATTTTACTTTTAACCTGTAGTTGTCGAGTGTTGTCAAGGCAAAGTAAAAGAGTAACAATTAGAAATAACTTACCCGATGGCCACGTTGTTGGAGCCGTGCATGGAAGAAATGGTCCAGACTCTCTCGAAACCGTAGTTGAGGGAGGATTCTAGTCTGTAAGTGCCTGCGTGCCATATTCTGATAGTGCCGTCCTCTGAGCCAGTCAGCAGGATCGGCAATTCGGGGTGGAACGACACCGCCGTCACATTCTGCGTGTGACCTGTACACAAACCACGTCATAATATTATAATGCCACACTTTACTAGCAATGAACACCACCTAGTCAGACCAGCTGAATAAAAAAAATCAATTGTATTGTAGAACTGATGATATCAATGGGGTCAATTTAATAGTCCCCTTGTTGCATGCAATTGCAATTGCAATGGCATATTCTTTGTGATCCAATTTGAATGATAACTCTTGAATGTGCCAATTGATTGCATTCATTCACAATGATGAAGGACAACGAAAAGCAAACACTATTTCTGGGTATCATGGTCTGCACTAGAATACGGAAACTTTACAAGAAATATTTAGTTTTACTCACTCTCTAATGTCTGAACACATGTTTTGTTCTGGTAGTCCCATATTTTGACAAGACGATCGTCAGCACCACTTATGAGGTAGGGCTTGTCTCCTCCATGGTAATAGTCGACGCAGTTGACGCCTTTCTCGTGGCCTTCTAGCGTGAAGTTGGAAATTGAGGACCCAAGTTGCCATACCTGGTCACAAATAAGTAGTATGATAATATCAAAACACATTGCTTGCTTTAGACATGTTACAATCATAATTATATTACTTACTTTGACGGTGGTGTCAAGACTAGCACTAGCGAATGTGTTGTTGTCTTTAGGGTTGATGACGATCTGCATCACATAATGTGTATGGCCCTCGAACACTTGCTGACATGCCCAGTTGCGTTCCCAGTTCCACAACTTGATCAGGAGATCATCTGCGATCAAGGATCAATTGAAATTCTATACTTTGACTCAACATGGACTAGCATGTAAGAAATTAAACTTATCTTATATTTGTTACACTATTATTCACAGTAGTAATAATTATTTATGGTTATTGTATTAAATCTAAAGAAATGAATATAATGAAAATAACAATCTATTTGTTACAGCATTACTACCTGGATGCAGCTGTTATACATGGTAAAAGTAAACATTGTTATTTGCCCAATGTGCAAACAACTGAACATAAAATCTGAAGTTACAAAAAGATGAAAATCGATGAAAATCCTTTATTATAAAAAGTATTTATAGTCAACAACAAGGAAAAACATACTTTTCAAAATTAGTAAAGCAGTGTAGCTTACCGCTGCTGGTGAGAATGTATGGCTGTGTAGGATGTATTGCGATGCATCTGACGTAGTCGGAGTGCGCTTCAAAAGCGTGCACTCTCTCCAGCGTGTTGTAGTTGAACACGCGAATTTGCATGTCATCGGAGCCGGTGATCACCCAGTTCTTGCGTGGCACGAACTTGGCGGCGCGCACAGGTAGATCGCATACCTAGAAAACACAATTTGCTTCTGTTACATTGGTGTGTAAATAAATAACAATACTAATTACGCTTTTGTTTTCATGCTACTGATGATATTGTACTACTTTTCATCATGTGTAGATAAGAGAAAGTCGAACTCTTATATTGGAATGAACATAATTTCCAATTCATGTTAAATAATATCACACAGGAATGCAGTTTAACAAACACTTTGTCAATATTTTGGAGATCTCAGGAAAGCAACGCTAGTTGTTGACAAAAAGTCTCTGTGAAATGATTGAAACCTTTAAGTATTTTTACAACACACTAACATTTTGTATTGAATAAGGACAGGATGATGTGAGTGACATAAAAAAAATTTGGGGTATTGGCAATTATTATTCATTCTTAGTCTTACAACTCTTTAAAACGATAGTTAAGTTTAAAAAGGATGCTTACAACTTCTTATCAAAGTCACCCAACCATGACAAATTAACTGAATTATTAATTAAAATAAGGACATGCAGCCATTCAAAGAACTGTAGTGTAGTACAAATTGTGAATAATATTGATAAACTAATATCAACTCATTAATCACAACATTATGCTATTACACTTAAGTGGAAATTTGAACTAATCTAATTATATATCAGATGCTTATCTGTTTTTAAACACACATTTTATTTATGACACTCAATGTTTTGTTCAGTGGTGAAGTCAGTCAGTAATGTGAAATAAGTCTTGTCTGAATTTGTAGTACATACATGACAACATTATCACCTGTGGCTTAGAAGACATACAAAATAGTAAATGGAACTTTGTTATAAAACCAGATTAGGCAAAGCTCATTAACAATATGGAAGATTCTTGTGTATAATTTTTATAGAAACACCTATATCTAACAACTGTTAATGTGTGTTCCTAAAATGTTTCAATTTTTCCCCTTTCTGATCAAAATATGATTGGTAGTTAGAACTTTTTCTGTCCTGAATCATCTATGTTTTACTATGACTTGTTTAAAAAAACTTTTTATAAATTGGAGGTTTGAGATAATATATTAATTACAATAAGAATTACAATAATTCACTTCAAAGAGAAATATTAAAACTAAATTAGGTTATCATCATAACAGTGACTTGTTTGCTTAAATAAACTTTAACAGTTTTTCAAATTATTGTCATGCACTTTGCATTTTTTATGATATTTTGTAGTTTGTTGAACATTGCTGCATACCTCATGCATTATAAAAAAAAATTGTACACTGCTTTTGCCATAATTTGTGTATTTGAGTGTGAATGTATCAAATATTTTTCTAATAAGAATGCAATTGTTATATAAATACATTATAGTCAGAATTTTAATTAGATTCCAGATTTGACAATAGCTACTGTCATTTTGTGAAATAATGATACCACATATAATAGTGTAGTAATGAACAGAAAAATCGATAAACAATCAGTGTGTGTGTTTTATAATAAATGTTACAGAAAGTGACAGGATAGCGATAGCGATGACGGCGACAATTTATAAAATAACTTATTACCATAATACATCTATCTGTTTTATTTGTCATGTTCCTTCATTTACATTTTTTTATTTATTTCACACACAATTATAAAAGAAAAGTCTCAGATCGTTAATTAATCGTCAATACTAAATTATCGGTTCAGAAATATTTAATTTCCTGATATACTTAGTTTACAAGAGTAAAATTATAAACAAGAAGAATCGATCCAGAAATATTGCATTTCCATATCGAATAATTTCGCAACGTCACTATTCAGTACTTGTCATAACGCTGCAACACTGAAATTGTCAAATCTGGAATCGAATTAAAATTCCGAGTATAGTTGTATGTCAATTGATTTAGTCCAACTAAAATACTAGATTTGTGGGTGTACTGTAATCATAATGGAATAGTGTTTTATTAATTTATTGAGTGCTAAATGTAGCGTAGTCATAGTCAATCAAATAGTCAAAAGTCAAATAGTTGTAGTCCATAAGAGCTAGAAGGATGTACAAGCAAAGGTGTAGTTACCTCAAACCTCTTGATCTGTGAGTGTGTTTCATAGTTCCATATGTTCACGTCACCGTTGTATAGGGAGCATAGGAGCCATGGCTCGGTCGGGTGCTGGTCCACACACTTGACGCGGTCCGACCTCGCTGTCAACTTCCTCTTGATATCCAGGCGCAACGGCTGTCGGAACATAGCAACAGTACACTAAAGACAACCCGTACAAAACACAAAAAACACCTATTTCACGCAAATTACATCAACTGGAAGCCGACATTATTCGAATGATGACACACTGCCGACAAATATACAACTACGTGGCGGAAATTTTGTCAACACTCAAAATGATGCGCAAATACTCTATTACGTTTATTTTTGTGAATTTAAAGGTGTTCTTACCATTTTTAATAGTTAAAACATGAAAATTTATCATACAGGAACAGAGGAACTGTGGAAGTTTGACAGGGTGGGTGGACGTGTCACTATTTTTTTTTTTCGTGTGCCAACACACATTTTGATACACGTCAAACCCTTTTTTATCGGTAAGTTTCGGTTTTATTTGGGCAATAATCATTATTTTCAATTGAATAAATATTTTCGATATGACGTATGAAAAGATATGAGTACGAAATATTTTTAATAATTGCTTTGAAACTACTTCTTTGCTTTTACTTTAACACAGACGTTTAAATATAATGCTACACTGGCGCCACAAATGAAACGAAATTACTTGCTTGTACTGTTTTCATAGGTACTGCCTTTTTCACCGTCCTCAAGTTAGTGTCGGCCAATAATAATTACATGCTCTGTGGTGTCGGCTAGGGCGCCAGGTTACAGAGGGGCGGCACCCACACCACGGTTCGACTCGCTCGTACCAATAATCTCGGCGGGAGCGGTGCCAAAAGAAATTAGGCAAGCGTATGAGAAGCTTACTTTACTTAATCCGCTATTGCCCTGGATACGTACTGTTTTTTTTTAATTTTTTTATATTTGATGGGGCGACGTTCAGCCACTATCTTGCCTGGTGGTAAGCGATGATGTGGTCTACGATGGAGCACGTCGTCCCATAAGCAACCTATCCACTCCGGCACCTAGCTTCACTGACGGACTGACTGACAGACTATTATTTATTTTGTATTTGTTGATGTTTCAAAAGCACCAAATTATGGTTTAATTGAAATAAATGCTTTGACTTTGACTTTGGGCCTTGAAGACACCCAGGGTGCACCCTTCAGGAAATACAGACTCTGGCACAGAATTCCACTCCTTAACAGTATGCACAAGGAAGCCACTATACTACGATGAAAATAACGATCTCAATACTACAGAACTTACAAACTAACTTTTTAATATTTAATTTTACATTAGCGCATTCACATAAATTATTTCACGTCACGCAATAGGCTCGGATATCATTTTAAAGAGTAAGAATGACAACATATGGAAATCGAACCCACGACATATTGCACAGCAGCCAGTTGACAAACTACTACTGAATATAGACCTTATTATTAGCATGCTACCGAGCTTTGAGCAGTTGTACACAAGTAAATATGAAAATAAAGTACCTGTTTAAGATTTCATGACCTTACCTAGAATAATGGCCATGACTACATTCAAATATTAGGTATTTGGTTATAATCTTAAGTGTTTTATTAAGTTACATTATTGAGTTCTCAAGAGTATTGTGTGGAGTATTCCAGAATGTAAATTGGAATGACTGATGACTCAATTTCGTTTGAATGTTTATGTTACCTTGATGCACACACCAAACAACTATGTTAAATACCTACATATTTTATTTTGTCATACTTTTGTTTACTTATCGTGTTTATTATTATTTTTTCTACTCTTTTGTCTTTATTCATATTTTATAAGTACCTTGTAATTTTATTTTATAATAATCTTTGTTTTTGTGTGTCATACTAAATGCTTTTTCTTTTTTCTTTCTATCTTACTACTAATATTCTAAATGTGTAAGTTTGTGAGGTTCTTCTGTCACTCAATCACATTATAACGGCTAAATGGATCAGGATGAAATTTGTAATAAGGGTAGATAAAACTTTCAAACGTTTATTACACATAGACTATAGACAAATAAATAACTACTATTTACAGAAAATACTGTTACTGGTGCTAACTTTTAAACCACACGATAAAACGTGTGTCATACTAACACATATTTTATCATTGTTATAATCTTTCAGAAATAAATAATGTTACATGCAATAACATTAAAATAATAAATATAAGAAACTTTAAAGTAATCTACAAGTTGTTGCATCCGGTGGTCTTCATTGTTACAGTTTTCTTTATCTAATAAACATGAACAGAATGGCAACAGCAATACCTACGGCGAATGATGATTGTAGAGCTCAACATTTGCGGGAGGATAAGTCTGTATGCGCATTACCAAACAAACAGCTTCATCCTCACACATAAGCAAAGCTCTGTTTTTGAAGAACCCTCATGAATGAAAAGCATTATTGAGTAACATTAACAGATTGTGTATAAGACAATAGAGAACAATTACAATCTACATAATCAACGCAGCTATCATTTAAACATTACAAGCATGATAAACATTTTAAAAAGGTATCCCATAATCAACTTTTCTACTAAAACAAATATGGCAGTTAGCATAACATGATCAGTAACAGTATGTATATTAACTCTAACACTGTATTTACAAATATTTACATTTCTTATTATATATTTATAATTATTTACATGGCTTGATATTCAAAGTTAAATCGCATTATGTGGAACTACATAGCAGTGGAGTTAAGACACTTTTTTGTTACAGTAGAAACTCGTAAATAATAATATTCATTTTCACACAACGCGATTTACCTTTAAACCACATGACAAGTGCCTTCATATTTTCTAATATATTACACCAGCAAAAACATCAGGCAATTGATATTTGCGAAATATTAAAATCATCTATTATTGCACAAGTGTGTTGGTGCCGATCCATTGCAGCGCTTGATATGGACTGTAAAATTGGCTAAGTTGCAACAGTTATAAATACAATAATGATAATGTTCCAAGTAACTAGTCGGATTTCATTATTTTATTCTACCACACAATGTAATACTACTAACTAGAAAAACTTGAACAAAGAACAATTCATAAGATAGTGGGCATGTAGCAGAATCAGAGCCAACTATATTATACCTAATAACACAATACTTGATTATGTGCAGTTACTATTTCAGTACTATTCCAACATGTAACCAGCCAATAAGAAACAATGGTTGTTAGTAATTATAAAAAAAATTGTATAAGAAATTAATTATAATTAGTTTAAAATGTCGTCTTAAATATAATAAGATCTGTGCTATACATATTTAAATATTTATTCATTATTGCTTAAATATAAATCATGTCTATAGATCCTACAATCATTGAATAATTTAATTTTCATCTCTATCCAACAAGTTGTTCTTCAAACAGTCAGCGAAACTAATTAATGGAAGATTAAGTTAGTTTATTTACTAAACTTTGTTTCAGTTGCTGGTAACAGGTAAAATAGAATGGATAATTCTAAGCACAAGATAAGATTGAGTAACAAGAGAATAAAATATTAACACAAAAATGTAATAGTTGAATCATTGAAAGGAATTATAGATAAAAGTCAGTAAATTATCGTCACTTCATTTAGTAAGTCATTACAATATCACAGTTGTTACAAATTTTCGTAGAAATAATTGGCAATACTCCGAAGGACTATAAAATAGTACATTAATTGAGGGCTGACTATAGCATCGGATAACAAAATAATTCTTACAATTCTAAAACATATATCTCAAAATTATGATTAAAACCTACATAATACTATGTATGTACATTTACTTTATTGTAATTATTACTAATAAATAAAACATTTGTATATTTACTATACAACTTTTATATATGGGAATGTATTAATTTTTACTTTTTAAGTATAAATGACTAATTTGCTATTCATTTCAAATATTAAAGTTTTAAATTTCTTTCGTCTAGCAATATTTGTTTGTGTAAATCTTTCTGGAAGAATACTTGGCAGTGATCGAATGATGAAGCAGGCAATCATATGATATGTAAGCAGATATCAATTACTTAACAAAACTTTAAAATATTAAGAGAACAAACAACGCATAGTCAGAGTGTAAACAAGTCCAACTTTAATTAGGTAAATGATACCTAAATTGGTTTGTTTTTCTATACTGTGACCTGTGTTTCTTAGACCTTGTGTTAGCTATCATGTAACACCGTGAATTATCTTGAAAACAAGTGTCAAACTTCATAGTTAAGTACAATAACTATCCAATAACAAATTATTACTACAGCGTGCGCATCAACCCAGTCGTGTTTGCAAAAAAAACGATTAATGCGCAGCATGTCTCTACATGGACATCCATGAAAACAGCGTCAGCTCAACAAACGTACAGGTGTCCAATATATCTCATCAAATGGGAACAAAATATATATATTCGAATTGTAACTGATGTAAAATTGTGTCTACGTATTTGAAAACGCTCGTTAACTGTGATAGTAGGCTCTTAGAATATATTATTTTATAGTGTACCTTGAATTACGTAAAACTTTACTACTTATTTTTCTTTTCGCATCTGTTAAAATCGACAGTGATTTTATATTAATTATAATTTCAAACATTATCATTAACGCGTAATTCAAAATCATGTTTAACAATAAAACAATCCCCTTAAAAAGCAGGCTGGTTAAAATCACTTGATATTGTAAACAATAAACTTATCATTAAATATATAGAACAAAGTGAGCACCAAATTCTACATATTCGCAGATAAAGTTATAATATTGTAATGTTGCTGCTTACTGGGCACACATGCAGGGTAAGTGCGAAGTGTGGACGCGGGCAACAACATTTCTTTATAATCCATAATCAACAATTCTCTATCTGTAAATTACAGTATCACCCTGGCCCTGGACGTATTGCAGTATTCGAGGTCTCCCAACGCTTCTCGCGGTCCCGCTACCTTCGTATTCATACTCTACATGTACGCCCTTACAACTCGAGAGTTATTTGGTGTAGCGAAACAATTGGTGTACAGCATCGAACACAAAAATCACATTCAAGATGAGCGAGAGCACGCGTTTACTTGAGGTAGCATTTGTATAGCATGACGGAACGGCTGGTGTCCCGCTCTTGCTCCAGAAGGAAGATCATGTCTCGCATGTTGATGCGCTTCAGGCGCGTGCGGAGCGCTAGCTGGCTGCGGCCGGCCTGCAATCATATTAAAACCCAATTAATGCAAGTTCATGAATGATATGTCACATCTGTCTATATAGCACAGAAAGTCGTGTTAGTTGCACTACTTGTAACTCAAAAACGACAAAATCCATATGGCTGAAGGCAGACATACGATACTTTTATCTTACGGGAACGGAAAAAACGAGGTTGCGCGTACGAAGTCGCGGGCAAAAGCTGGTATTTTATATAAGCATATTCAAGTCGACCTCATCGTTCGCTTGATAAAATTGACGTGTAAAAGTGCTGCCTTGTAGCCTATTTGCAGAAATAAATTCACTTGTTTCACTTGTTTCACTTGTTTCACAAGGTATACTTACAATGCCTGGGGCAGCAGTGTGTCCAGCGCCATTGGAAATGGAGTCACCGGAGCCACCGGGCAGATCGAGTCGAGCCTTCTTCCTGGGCCCGATGGCCTGTAGCGCAGTCAGATTGGCCTCTCTTTGCCGTAGTTCTTCCAGCTCGGCACGCTGCATCTCCTTCGCTTTAGCCTTCAGTTTGGCCTGTTCCGGGTCTTCGTTCTTAGATCGAGATTTGGCTGCTCGCATCAGCATCTCCCTCTCAGAATCTTCACGCCTCTTCTTGTCTACGCGGTCCAATTCTTCTAAGAACTTGAGCTGACTCTTTACGTCTTGGGTGGTTTCATAGCGGTTATCAGACTGTGAGGAACATAATAAAATTTATTAGTCACGGTGACACTATTACTGCAGTTCAAACTACTAAGAGTAAGAAAAATAACATTCGTGCTCAGCAGCCAATAGCGATCCAATAGTAAACGCATTCGCTCGACATTGTAATGCTGTTACAACTTTGAAATGGTTCAATTCTTTTATAAATTAAGACGTAACTATATCTTTATTCACGTAGCATTTAATATCACTGGTGTTTGAAGTGGTAATGGAAATCTGATAGACTGTTTAGTCTATCAATTACGTGAAGACAGTTTAGGAAAGCAGCGAGCATTCAATACACAGCCAATACATCAAAATTAATCTTATGTTCCGCGTATAGCGCAAAGCGTCTAATTATACCTAAACATATATTATATGAGTGACACTATACAATAACATAATAATAAAGTAATGTAAGCACGATGGTACTACAAATTACAAGTGTAACTCGCCATGCAAACCAAAAACATAAAGACAACACTATAGGGAACTTTATAACAAGACGAATTCAATACTTATTTCAAAATGCCTCCCACTATAGTTGTCTATCAATGTTTACGGAGATTGTATGCGGTGACGTCATTTGTTTTGTGGTAAATAGCATGACCATGTAGGTATCTTAACCCCAATTATTGTTACAAAAAATGCGAAATAGTCACTTATTCGTGTTTCATCGAATGTTAATGTGAACTATAGGTAGTTATGTTTCGAATCAAATGTTGTGTTTGTTTTTCATTAAATGTTGGCATTGTATTGAAGAGATGAAATGATTTATTTTTGACTAAAGGATCTTCAGACTCGACCATACATAGTAGTTATATATATCGTTAGGTCTGTCTCCCAATGAAATAGTCAGAGACCCTGTTGTAACGACGTCACGATTCAAACTTAACATTCTTTCGTACCTAACTTTGTCAATCATAACCGATAGATAAGTTATTGTACATATTTACGCTCAGTCCAAAATTTATTAAGTTTTAGTAAAGTAATTTACTAAAACTTATTATTGAACTGTTTGTTATTATTAATTTATCAGAAGTTTTAATAAAACCAGACCTTAAGGGCCGGCGCTCACTGGCACAGCAGTTTATGTCGCGGTATGCCGTGGCACTCTGCCAAGACTCGCTGTACGCAAGTTACAACCTTATTTCAACTAAGCATAAGCAATCATAGTTCCTCGACATAAAGTTATCATACGTCTCGCGAGCAAACGGCATGCCGGAGCGCGTCGTGGCATCGTGGTATACAAATAAAGTAAAATGAATTCGAGTTCATTTCACTCATTGACGTAAGATACAAAATAACTTGATTAGTTAAAATGCTTTGCCTTGCCATGCCATGCCGTACCGTGCCGGCAGTGAGCGCCAGCCCTATAACTTACTTGTAGCACAAACTTCCGAGGACATCACAGGCAGCAATCATACAAACTTCTTAATGACATTATGTACAAACACCCTCTTATATACAACATGGCGGGAAGTTATTACCAGGCACTGTAACCAGGCTATGTTGTTATCTCATTTATTACTTTTTAAGCATATACTGAGAAGGCACTGCTACAGTCACAATTTAGTCTGATAGTAACTTTATTCCACACAAAATTAAGTTGATAATGGTGAGGGAGTTGAGTAAGAAAAAGTTAAGAACTATCAACGCACAGCTGAATCACCAGTAGGTACAGATTCATTTTATTCTGTAGGTGTCATTTAAGAAAAGATTATTCCAAAATCAACATTTCATTGAAATAACTACAGAGATGAGGGTTTGGACTTCATAGCAATCCACCTTTAGATTCGAGTATAAAATCAAATATTTTGAGTCAAGGAAGCCTTTAAAAGCTACTAGATGACAGGTACAAGAAATTAATTTTATGAAATATGAAATCACAAATACAATGATAATAATTGGCTCTTTGAACAATGTAAAAATACAATATAGGAGTATAAGAAACTATAGTGTTTAGGTTACACTGTAATAAACTTTCAGTTTATTTTGTATTCAAAATTATTTAGTACTTTAGTACTAAAAATGTTTCAATATTTGTACAATAATGCATTTTATGAAAACAAGACAGTTGTGATGGCGGATAACAAAACATTTTGCATGTTTTGAAACATATTTCACAAATGTTCAAGTAGCCAATTTATAGCTCAGCAGTGTCAGTCGCAGACTTGTAAAGAATACAATTCGCAATCAGTCAATGCATTATTTTATTTACTATAACTGCTTTACTTCAACTGCAGTAAGAACGGTAATCTATTAGGAAAATTACCTTTATCAGCAAATCTATTCTGTGCTGCGCGATGGTGGACAGCTTCTCCACCAGTGTCTTCAGGCGTTCTTGCACTGCGTGGCTGATGAGGTTAGCCACCTCTGGAGGACATTCTTCCATGTTGTGTTTCGATGTAATTGCCTTAATGCGAGCCTGCATCAAACTCGTCGGTACTAGGTATTCCTCCTTACAAGATCTGCAAACAGACAATTATTTTAAGTATAACAAATATACAAAAAAATACTAACTTGTTATTTTAAAAGAGTAACAATTACAATGATATTACCTTATTTGTGTACCAATCATCTCCGTGGAGCCCAGGATTCGCTGCGATTCTTCGGCCAAATTGACACCACCCATGGCAGCCACATCATTGATGTCGTCATCTCCAGCCATTTTATCGTCAACGAATGGCTGCGAGAACTGCCCCGAAGACTTCTTCTCCTTGTCCTTGAGCAAGGATTTGCCAGGGGTGAGGACTGTAGAAAGCGCAGCTGATGCTACCGAGGAGCGAGGGAAATTGGTCTTGCTATTGACAGTCATTGCTTTGCCCACTTTGTTCACGTTGATCTTGGTGTGAAGTGGGATGTTCTGCAGCACGGCTATCGTACCGCCACTCTTCTGCACCGGCTGCTGATATAAAAGAATATCGTTACACACATGTACAAACTTCAAACAAACTGCTCAGATACGAACAGCTAATTTTATGATATTTATGTTAAAGATTCGTGTATAGTAAGGATAATTATTACATCAGAATTAGAATCCATAAGTTTAGCTTGTCCGTAACCAAACAGGCGTATACAACGAGATCTACCTCCGAACTGACGAGTTACAGGTAAAAATAGGACAGTGCTGGCTCGGAGAGGATTAATATTCAACACAAATATATTTACATAGATCAAGGAGCATGTCGACACGAGACAACTGCACCACAACATCTCTCCATGTTGTCTGTGTGCATAATACAGAATACGTACAGGCGACTTGGTCAGGGAGTGCCAAGGCTCGGCCACTCAACTGCATGAAATATGAATATATCTCTTGTGTGGAACGCTCAATAAAACGTTTATAATTATTTATTTATTACCAAGCAGTCCCTCAATTTTTATTAAGTTTATAGCTATATACAATCATACAGACAAATTACGTGTCGTAGTAGTAAGTGTTGACAATTATTTGCTTATTTTTATAAGGTTATCTCGTGTCACACTTCCTTGCAACTACCATGCAAATAGTGTTAGTACATTCATGCATTGATAACACACAGTTCATACATTTTATAGCGGTAACCTAGTTCGATAGGGTTTCATTGCAAGTTTATTGGTTGCTAAGCAATAACAAATTTATTCTCAAGTCTACCTTATCTTTAAATCACCTTCCTTAGAACTACCCATACACATTCACAAATGATAAAGAATATAATGCAAACCATGCGTTTATAACTACTGCCTCTTGAACAGAAAGCTTGAAAACAATATTCTCGAATACTTACTATGATATGTTCAAGTCTGACTATCTTCCAACACTGATATTTTACTGTGTGTAATTAACGCGATTCTTTCTTCAAATATTAAATTTGGCTTAAATCGCGCCCCTATGGAAAGGACAGATGTGCTCGCCGCTGTTCCTCGCTATGACCAAGATCAGTGCAACCTGGTTGAAATATCAAGCCAAATACCAAATTTGAAGAAAAAATAGAATTAATCTCTGCATACGTAGTGTTGGAAGAATATAGAAGAATGACTGTCACATCAGTTTCAGCACGAACTTTGATTTACAAATCTGTCTCAAGTCACAACCAGAAATTATTCTAGGAAACTAAAGGTACACCTATATGACCGCATGCGCTATAAAGTAATTGCAATATAATCTTCCCATGGTACGTAATTTTTACAACATTTAATTGTTAGTTCAGGGCGCTGGCACGGAACTGTACACCTAATAATGTTAGATGTCGACATTTATATACTTGTGTATATACTTATGTCTATTAAAATCCATCAAATAATGAAGCTGGCAACGACAGACAATGTAACGGAATGGATCTAGCGCATTACTGGTACGAAGACACTAAGCATGGGACACGTACTACGGAGGGCTGCCATCTATACTAGCGACGCTACTCACCATCCTCTACTGCTTATGATTAAACTTATAAAGTTCAAGTACCCTTGACATAACACTCATTTTTAATGAATAGGATACATGGTAACGATTGTTGCTTTATCCGGCGGCAGATGGCAGCCCTTTAGTTGAGAACAACAAACCTGTACGATAGGCGTTGGAGCGGACGTCACGGGTAATACGTTAACCGTCTTTGTAGTGGAGCTGATGAGGGGGGTCGACAGTGCTAAAGGCAACACCGGCGGCAGGAGGGGCGTCAGTGTGGGGCTCGAGCTATCCTCGTCGCGCTAACCCAACACCACCCAAACAACCCATTAGTCATACTAACCACACAACGAGTACACCTCCATCTATCTAACCACGTTACACTATATACCCCACTTGTCCAATTAAACGAGCCGTGTCTCTACAAGACTCAACACTTCATAATCAGTCACATAAAGTGAAACAATCACTATTTCCAAATTGTATTTCATACTTTAGTGAGTAAAAGAAGTACTAAATTAATTATTGAATTCATAGAAATCAATACTTCCTATACAGTGCATAAATTCATGTCACCACAGCACAAGTCCACACCAAGCTTGGCTTATAAAGGTGTGATGAGAAATGTTATGCTTAACATCCCTCATGATCAGACCTTACCCTTACACTTACTCAGTTTAAGTCTTTAGTGAGGCATGTAAAATGAAAGTCCAGTGCATAGAACTTCATCAAACTTCACACCTGTCATAATTTATAGTCTAATAGACCCAGATTAACAACAAAAGGTAGGTTTGTGAAAGTAAATGTATACACAAACATGTGATTGTATGAATAAAACATTATTGTGTTACAAAATAACTAGCTTTGGTAACACAGAAGAATAATGAAAAAACCAGCAGAATGTGAGTGTTATAGATTAATTATTTGGTAGTGTGTGAGCCCTGGACCGCTATTCAGTCATTACAAAACGCTTGAATATACCATTGGTACATAAAATTATTTAATAAAAATTATGAAATTGCACTACAATAGTAATTTTATTTGAACCTACTAAACCAAAAAGTATTAGAAGGAGCTAGCAAAGAGGGAGACCGTCTTAATCTAAAACGTTACACACTGTCTTCAGACAGTTTGAAATATAGTTTTAATATAGAATGAATTGGATTTAAGATTTGAAGATGACTTCGTTATTTATTGGCTTCTCCCTCCCATACAGCACTGGAGAATAAAAAGTAAATTCCAGGGATCAAAAAATGTGTAACAGGTTGGTTCGGAAATGAACCAAACCAGAGTAGTAGGGAACATGGGTGGATGGATGTAATTCAAACAGTACATTAACCAAACCACCATGGACCAGGTAGAGAAGTACATGTTATCGTACTTGGAGCAGGAGATCTGAATGAGACCAAGTGAGTTTCATAAACAAGCTTATTTGGCAGCCTGCCTACTCGAAGTTGGACTTGTGTATTTTCAAATCATTATTAAAATACTCGTAAGCCAAGATATTCAAGCAATGCATCGTGTACTAGGTATTCACTCATGGAACTAAAACCTGAGTTTCCATGATAGGAAGTATCAAAGACCTGGGAGTGGTCGGGACTCAGTATTCCATCACCTTCCTTAGTAGTCAAAATGGGTCTACTACAACTATTATTCCGAACCCCGGTTTAACGAATTTCTTAAATGCTAGTTGATAAGTCTATGAATGTGATTGACATAATTATTATAAGCCTACATCGTTGTATGTCAATGTAACTTAATAATTGTTGCATTATAAATTATTGTGGTGATTGATAATACATCACCAAATCTTTAAAATGCCGAAGTAGTTAGACCTCCGACTCATTAGTCGTTATTTTACCAGATAAAACCCAATTATTTTTAGAAAATAACCAAAACTACCAACCAACTATCTAAAATACTTGAATAATACTTTAAAAACGTCTTACAATTTGACTAATTGGCTCTATTTCGAAAACCCGTATGTATGTTCATGTAAAAGAAATATAGTTTGTTAGTGTATTGACATTGACAGTTTTAAGAGTAATCTTTATAAAAGAAATAAATTCAAAACAGTATAATAGTAATAATTACAACAAAAAGATTACTCTTACTCCTGTCAACGTTATCATAAATCACACGACAACTCACAGGTTCACACCACACCCTCTTCATGTTAATAATATCAAAGCATTTACAATTTACACCCGTTTTAAGGTTAACAAGCAGTTTTATGCTAAAGTGTTAACACTCCACAAAATGCCCGTCCCATAATTAGTTTGTAAAAGCTGTGACTGCTTCATCAAGTAATATAAATATTTTGTTAGTTGGACCCTCACCATTCACCAAAAAATATATGTGGTACGTACCATTGAGATGTTAGAATTGGTAACACTTGCAAGGACTGGTTGCACGGGTGCTGGTATGTTAGTGAAGGCGATATGCGGCGCTGGAGGATTGATGCCTTCGATCACTAGCTCCTTCGTGACCAATGACTGTCTCAGCAGTGGTAAACTTTTCTGTTAAAAGAGAAGAAATAACATTAACATTTAGATATACTCTTATTAACAAAAACTTAGAAGCAAATAGAACTTGTGATCAATATACATTACCTTTAAAAAACCGATTAGACACGGTTGAGGACTAGCATTAAGAAGTCGTTCCAATCTATCACAGAATTCTTCGGGTTCGACCTGAGCATCGATTAGTTCTTGGATCAGGTTCCTTACGTTCATCTCCACTGAAGGCGGCTCTTTGCTTGATAAGTCTAATAAATTCGCTAAGAAATTACGACATTTTTCTTTGGTGTTATCCGATGGTTTCTGGGGAAAAGGAAAAAAATAATTGTAAAATAAATTAATAATTCACATGATTATTATGAATCTATTTTTTAAATTAAACTACATTATAATAAAATAATGTATTTTGTATTTTTTGTTCATTCTTCTCCGTAAAAGCTATACCACGGAACTAGCTAATAATTTATCTGAGCGACCACTGACCGATAGATTTTATTTCACATTTTGCCTTCAAAATTGCTGTATAGTTTCTTTTGAAGTATTTAAATAATTTTACTTTAAGCCAAGGACCTAGAAAACTAATGTCATGATACAATGAACAACTTCGGTTTGAAAATTGTTCCGTTCCAATACCCATGCAACAAGTATTGAGAAAAATACATGTCTTTTGTAGCAATTTAATATCAAACCAAAACCTATTACACTATGCATGTAATTAGTGCTGATGATATATGTACGTATATTCACAGCTATAGAACATCTTTAGTGAAAATGATTTCTGTCCACCTCCCAATGATACTGTGTCTTAATATATATATATTTTTCACAAATATTGTTTTTCTATTACCAAATAATTGTAATATTTTATTTTAACTTGATGATTTAAGTTATAAAATTCATTAATTTCATTGTTGCACTTTGTTCAATACACAAAGACCACTCAATGTAAGACCAAGCCCTGCAGCCACCATATTGGGTACCCTGTAAGTACTTACAATTAACTGATTCAGATACAACAACTATACGTACTCTTATTTCTGGCTCAGGTTCTAGGTAGTAATGGTAATCCATGTTGTTAATTGACTTGTTTAACTCCACTAGATTCCAAAACTAGTCAAAAACTTGCACTTCACCAGTTATCACTTAGGAATATTGGCAAATGATTTAGCGCCTGCGTTACGGACCCTTCCGGCACGTCGTTTATTTTCACTTGTAATAAAATATTGATTTGTAGTTTCCATAAACGCAGACTCGAATGCAAAACTGACTTTCTATAAACTTTATTTCGTACTTGTTTATGAAGGGCAATAATATTCTCGTAGAATACGTCAACCAAATAAATAATCAGTTTATATTTTCGGCAATCGAAGCACCAAATTAAATAAATGGACTCTTTTTATCAAACCGGCAATAAATTAATGCGCTGAATGCAATTCGGAACGTTATCACGATGGACGCACGCAACACGCATGCGCGCCACGCTTTATTTATGAAGCAAGACTCGCTCGTGTTTGTTTGTTTCGATATTTTGTCATCGGCGTATTTAACAGTACTCTTTTTTAAAGATTTGTATTTATTTTGGTCTAATGTAATAATATCACATAGTATATCAAAACCGGAAACCAAAATATTGTTCAGTAAAATGATTATCGACGTAAAAATTCATAGTGGCTATGAATAAAGTAATAATCTTAATTATTAATTAGTCAATATTTATATTTCTAATAAATTAAGCTTGGATACTGAGTTACATTGAGACGAGGTCGAAATTCATATTAGTTCTATTGTTTAAAACATTTATTTACGGTTGTCTTATACTTATTATGCTGAAGATTTTGTTTGTTTAAACATGCTAATCTTTGGAATTTCTGGTATGATTTGAATATTTTCTTTTTGTGTTGGATAGTGCATTTATCGAGGAACGCTGTAGCCTATAAAACATCAAGCTATGACTTATAAGAGCCGAGCAGCGGGTTAAATCGCGGGCAGGAGAGTAGCTATTAGTTAATACTTATCCTCATTCAGAGCAACCTGACTTCATAAGATCTGAATCTGTCATTTATTTCTTTATAGTTATTTTTTACTAGCTTCTGCCCGCGTTTTCTATCTTCTTTCATCTTAAGAACCTTCTCCTAATAATAACAAATACAAAAAATGAATTCGTGAAATCGGTCCAGCGTGATGCCGTGACCAGGGGAATAAGGGATTCATTTTTATATTTAAACTAGCGACCCGCCCAGTCTTAGCACGGGTGCAATATGCATGTATTATACATATAAACCTTCCTCTTGAATCACTATATCTATTAAAAAAAACCCCATCAAAATCCGTTGCGTAGTTTCAAAGATTTAAGCATAGAAAGGGACATAGGGACAGAGAAAGCGACTTTGTTTTATACTATGTAGTGAAGTATAGAAATAGATACTCTGTCGACTTCTTTTAACACATGTGTTATTATTTTCTTTACTCTAATATTAAATAATAAAGGTTTTATTTATTTCGACTCCTAGGTCACGTAATACGATAAAAAATTGCTAATACTTTTATGGTCACTGGTTATATGGTAAATCAATTATTAAAATAAACAATTAGAACGATTGTACAGACATTAAATTCTGTTATTTAAATTAATGATGTATTTTAGAGATTTTAAATTGAACTTTTAAAGTGCATATTGTTTGAGTGATTTCGATTTCGGATAGGTAGTAAATAATGTCCGAGTAATTTCTCGACTTGGGAATCAATAATTAGGTAACCGTCGATATGTGTATTAGCCTTATCACAACGCTTCTAACATACATGCTACATGTCAACATAACTGACCTATCCCGACATTTGGGTGCAGTCAGCGCGAAAATATCGAACAAAACAATGTCAGCAAGAAGAAACATGTGTTTATTGATTTATAGAGCGACATCAAAGTATTAAGTTGTCCTTGATCCAGATATCGCAACAACCCTTACGTTCGCGACCAGGTCACTGACCTCATTAATAAATAGCTGCAGCTGACCGCTGGGTCAGCGTTAATAGACTAAGATACAGCTGATACACTAGCGTTCGGGACAGATTTTATAAAACATATTTAATTTTTGCAGCAGTTTTTAGTTTAGATTGGTCAAATGCACGAAATTTTATAATTTATTAAACTAAGTTCTTTATTAAACGAAATTCTTGTAACGATTATTTATTACGGATTGAATACTAATACGTAAAACGTAGTTCCGAGTTTCTCTTGCTAATATGATAAATGCGAAAGTTTGTGTGTATGTTTGTTAGTCGATCGCACAAAATAAAAAATACCACGCAAAACAGTTCCCAGTCTCAATGGAATACTGTTTGGCGTGTTATCTTTTCAATAGAATTCCTGTTACTTTTTCAATAGACTGCGTGTCCTTTTTTTGTAATATACTGCATGTTATTTATTACGCTAATATTTGACAAAAGCACTGTTTGTTGTAATAGTATGTAAAATCTAATTAATAATATTGCGAGATGTCCAAAATTTTGTCCAAGAACAAACATGAACAAAACCCTGCAATATAGTACGATACTATAATGAATATTGTCATTGGTTTGGAAGTGGTTGCGATGGTTTCCAAAACTTTATCCACAGCTCTAACATGCAATTTTACAAATTTTGTTACATTACACGCGAACGAAAATCATGCGACGTAACTTTTTAAAATACTATGCGTATTTGTGTCTAAGATTAAGCAATATTATTTCCCGTATATCCTATGAGAAATAAATCTTACTAATATAAGTACACTGTCGAAGCGGAAACAAAATATGTGAGACTAATGTTTGAAGCACAAGGAGTCGTATCGGCTAGAGTTCTATCAGGTCGTGGTTGCATAATTACAATAATATACATACTCGACACGAAGTGGTTTGACCAGTGTGTGACGACTGGTTTGTCAGAAGGTATAATAGTAAAGCTTTCTGTTATTTCGTGTGAAAATGATGTCGAGGCGCAGTTGTTTCAGAAAGATCATAAGTAGTTCATGACTACCCTGAGTGAAGACAAGCCCAAGACATCGGATAGCAATGCAAATATCAAATATATGTAACTATGTGTGAAAAGGAATTTAAAAAATACTTACTATATGTGTCGTAGAACTTGGTTGTTGAGGTGTGGGTGTAGCGACCGCAACACTTGGGGCTGATGCAACCACAGGGGCTGCGATTGGCGGCGCCGGCATCTGCCCCGGTATAGGACCCGGCGCCGCCACACTGGTAGAGACTGTCGCCACGCCAGGATGCTGTGAGAACAGAAGCCATACAATTAAGATGCCATAACAACACAATACTACGCATGCAAAGCAGGCCATCACAAATGCGCTAAGCGTTCATTCCAAGCAGTGACAGGGTAGGGATATACGTATTTAGGATGTTTTAATGTTTGGCGCAAAACATTATTTTCTTTACAATTTCAATCATTTTTCTTTGAAAAGCCTCAAAACTCCAATTTACACAAAAAAAAATGAACCCATAAGGTCTCATCTAGCAACTTTGCATCACTCGATTTTTTTAAAAAAGCTTCAACAGATTAATTAATAGCCGTAGCAAGAAACGCAAGCGAGCGAAAGTTAGCCACGAATCGGTCGCGTTCATCACCCGGCTGTCATGTTTGCGCCTAACACTAGAACTAGAAGAGTTCATAGGTAATTAGTATTAGATTATACACAATCATGACGATCCGATTACAATCTTACCTTGTTAAAAACCTTACTGCATGCACCTCCACCATATTATGTTACATGCATGATCGAGACTGAAATTGGACAAACTATAAACACTTCTCCTCTAACAGGAGGGACTAATACAAAACAGAGTGCTAAACATTGTCCAATTTCTATGAGAGCGCGGGGTGAGTAGCGGATTGGCTGTGCCTACTTACTGCCGGCACGGTAGACAGCCGGATGGTCTGAGCCTGCGGCGCCGTGAGAGTGCTGGCCGCGGGCGCGGGGCCCACCCTCAGGAGCTGGTATTGACCATTCTCAGTCTTTAACAACAAATGACCCTGCTGTCCCGGTTGAAGACTCTGCAGAGTTTGCAGCGTTATCTAAAAATGATAGCCTAGTTTCAATTTTATTGAACTCATTCATCCAGTTCAAAAACTCGCGTCGTATTCCAATAAATTAAGTCTGAGAATATGGTTCTAAAGCAGGTCATTTGTTAGATTATAACACATTTAGTGGATTTAGTTGTAAACATTAATATGTTTGTGTAACAACAACATTTATAAAACTGAGTGTGGGATTCATTGGAATTTTGGGGTTAGCATGGTGAAAGCTCGTGTTTACCACGGTAATTACTAAAATATAGTCAAAGCCCATTTAGCACATAAATTTACATGGCACACTTTAGTACATTTAGATTCAGTTTGTACAATCAAGCATTACATACCCAACATTCCATTGCCAAGCGGAGCAAAGCTAATGGAACATTGGGAGACATATCAATGCCATAATATTACCATGAGTATCAAACATACGCTTGAGTTTTGTACTAATATAGGTGCTTGACACCTTAACAGATGACATTTAGGGCCAATGATCATTTTTACACTGAAATTTGGAAGATATTAATTGATTAATCCCAAGCTTAGAGTTATATTTACTCATATTGCAACAACATTTAATTGTTCTCTGCAAATGTGCTTACAAAACAGAAATTCTGTTTATGCTACTTTGTAAATTGAGTTTCTTACAAATGAAACACAAAAATACCATAACATTAACATTAAGTGGTATGCAAAAAATACCACAAAAAATTAAAGTTAATAGATAATGAGGGTCTAAAATACTGGAACCCTTTCTTTCAAAACAAAAATGGAAATGTTGTCAAAGGACTAATTTAGTTACAATACACAAATTTAGATTACCTTACAGGTAAATTACATTACCATAACATTTAGCATGGCACCATATAATTAAGTAATGATCATAATACTCATTAAGTGGTCATTAAAATTAATTGCCACATGGTATTTTTAATCAAATTTCTAAGAAGTTTATTGTAAGCACAGTTGCTGAGAAATTTCAATTGAATCTGTAGAGCACATCAATACATCAATACATCTTGTAGTAGAGTCAATGAAATGAAGAAATAGTGTTATATCTAAAACTACTTGTTGATCAACAGATTGAACTATGCACTAATGTAATCAATTAGCATTAAACTAAGCAATCAATTAGGGAATGAGGTAGTATTCATCACTAAACATTATTTAAATGGTTATTATGAATATCACTAGAAAATTAAAGAAATTACTTTTGAAAGCACACTAAAAACATGGAATGCTACAATTTTAAAATAATAATTTTGATAATGTTTGATGTTTCTTCATTGACTCAACCATACAATTAAATGACCATACATGCAATATGAGATGAAAAGGAAAATGTGTGTTACTCAATATCATATGTGTAAATCACCTCCAAATTAAAGATGATGTGTCAATGATAGTGATGATGGAAAAATGACCAGCAAAGCAAAATATTACAGGCTTATAGACAGAAGAGATTGCTGATCATTTAAGATGGATGTGAGTTGAAAGTGAAGTAAGATAGCCCAGAGTGACATTAATATGCTGCTTTACAGGCATCTTGTATACAAAGCATGGTGTTTTTACAGAACAGAGACAGTTAATAGTGCAAGTTGAGACTGACAGAACATTGCAACAGACATATAAACAAACCTGGTAGCAGAAGTGTCTATACTCTGTGACACATGGTATTCAAGGACATTGAGCTTAATTATATTAGTACTTACGAATTTGGAGGTTATACAACAATCACAATAGAGAGGATCTTGGGAGGTGAAGTCAGATTCACATCCACATACACAAGTGTGTTCCGTCAGCCTCAAAATGTCTGTACAAGAGTTACTGAATGAGCTTATTATTTAAACTGAGCAAAATGTCTGTACTCAGTTGACAGACTTGAAACTTACTGGAGCAGTTGCTCTCGTACCAACAACTTGAGGCGTACCAATCACCACTCTGGGTGATACTGTAGCTACTGACTTCTGAGCCGCCACTGCGGGCGCTCCAGGTCTCATGTTTAATATTTGGACATTGGGGATGATAGCAGGCTGCGCGGAGCCTAAATTCTGTGTGGTCACTACTACGTTCTGCCCTCCAGGCTTGTTCAGTGTCATCACATTAGGTATTGAAGCAGGCATGCTAGAGTTCACAGTCATTGGTACAGTCACCATTCCAGTCTGCATACCCACTTGGCCAGTGTTTGAGCCCTGCTTAATGACGAGTGGATTCTGCATGGCGATTGTTTTGTTGCTCTGTTGTGGTAATACGTTGCCGCCCGAAACCGCGTGTAAAATCTGGCTCTGCGACGTCTGCCCGATGCAAGCGCTAGCCAACGACTGAACTGGGAGCGCGACGCCGCTACCCAAGTTACCCAGATGTTGTGCTTGTGTGTATATCACTTTCAATGACTCATTCGGTAGAGGAGAGCCACTTAATGACAGAGAAGTAAATGTTGGCTGTGTTGACGCTTGTACACTGTTAAATGTTACACTTGAGGATGCTATATTAGGTTGAACACTATTCACTATACCACTAGAATTAATTTGGTCAGTCATGTATTTTTGTCCACTTATTATAGAGCCCGCGTTTGGAGTTATATTACAATTTTGAGACGGAATAACATTTACGTAATTGTTTTGGGACGACGCCGACGCGACTGACGTGACTAACTGATTTTCTAATGAACCTACTATCGCGTTAACGGCGTTCTCATCAACGTTTGTGGACAAAGCCTGTTCTAAAAACTCGGCTGACGCCATTTTATACAAATCATCGGATATGGTTAGCGCTGGGAATAAACCGGATTAATCGGTAAAAATCGGTTTATCGATTTAATGAATGTACCAACATTTGATAATGAGTTTTACCAACATTAGAAAATTTAGTGGTTTTACCAACATACAAATTATAGGTAAATAAAGTAGATAATTATTATGATTACAGATTATTAAAAATGTTACTAAGTTACTAATCTCAATGAAGTTTTGTGTGATTAAGCTAGTTATTATTATTGTTATTTTAGGTACGGTTAAGGTGGAAACATTTTAATTTTTAGTTATATTTGAATAATACTTTGATTTAGATTGTATGTCTTTATTAAGTAACGTAATTATTTATAATATATAGTTAAAGCAATAAATGTTGAGTTTGCTATAGAATAGTTGTCGATATTATTACAAAGAAATACTTGAAAGATTTCTACAGAGGTAAAAATATACTGACCAGATTACATAAAATAGGAAAATTAAAAATATATTTTTATTAGATTCAATACTAATGTGGAAACATATTACTGAGACTTAACATAAAAGTAGATCATAGCGTTAGCTTTAAGCACTAGCCTAGTGTTGTAAAAAAGTAAGCTGCCACGATTCTTCAGTTGATGTGAATGAATGAAATATGAATGAATAATCTAATTTAATAACATAACGAATTGTACTTGAGTTAATTATTCATATATAATATTTAAGTTAAGTATGTGGACAATATCGATATGCATAAAAAATACAGATTTCTTATAGAGCGCCACCTAGTACGATCCTGACATACTTCTGACTTCATAGGCTTCCTTCAGTTTCGTGGACGCCGGTTATAATAAACACCACGCGGGTTAAGCACCGTTATAGATTCCGCACGTGGCCTTTTTATAATACAACGTGCCGAGCGAGGTCAGCACATAATTTTCTAGGGCGCTACCTAATGACTCCCTTTTATATTTTTTTTTCCTACTATCAGCTCTACCAAAAATAATACGAAGCCCGCCCAATAATAAATTAATTCTCCATGACTTTACCACTCTGTCATCGTGAGGAGACGAACGTTTTTTACATTTAAAATGTTTCCCGTTAACCCTTGGCAAACGAGATAATGATTATATTACAGTTGTACCTACTTTAATCGATACCAATCTAATACGATCGGAGGTTGTTAGCCGTTCTTCACTACCGACGGTTTTACATGCGGCATGGTTTTCGTGAACTTTAATTTCTATTCATGACATGAAACTATAATTATGCACTTATACTAACTAGGTGAATCAATTTTGATGAAATTCATACCTATGTATCAAATCGAGATGAATCGAAATTAGACGGATTACTTATAGTAGGTAAATAATTCGCGCCGCCTATGACACCATCAGATTTACAAAAAATTAGTCCCATGCGAAATACTTTCGAGACAGAGACAATTAATAATAAGATAGTAAACTGAATGTTGAGGTGGTCCCACAGAAATATAAGGCCCAAACACTTCTAAAGCACGATGGTGCTGTTTCGAAACCTGGCCAATGTGACTTATTTCGCGTTATTATGTATTTTTAGTTAATTTAGTATGTCTTACGATAGTTATTATAGAAACATAATGATTAATGATCATAATACGGCAACTCGCCATGAGCTTCCTTTTTTGGAAAATCATCGACTTCTTCCGCATGGGTGAGGCGGGAGGGAGTGTCAGACTCTTAGGTACTGCCTAGAAACCATTCAGTTCCTACTCCTGCACATCGAACCGGAGCCCCGGCAACCCTTTAAGTCCTCCGCGGCTCCGAATCGGCATCAGCCCTATTGAGCCCCATCCGTTGTGGTCTGATGGCTGATTCGCCATGAGCTAGCGTGGTGATAATTCGACGACTCGCCACGACTCATGAGCCAGCGTGGTGATTAATGTTCATAATTAGGCAACTAGCTATAAGCTACCGTGGTCATAAATCTGCTTCTTTTGAGAAGTGTTGAAAACTCTTCGCAAACGTAACTTAATTTTTTCATTATGAATTCGCGTTTTCTTTGATTGATATGGTTAGGCATTTTAATTTTATTAACATAGTTTTGATTACCTAGGTATGTTTTATGTAGCGTGATGTTCTATAGCCTTCTTCGATAAATGGGCTATCCAACACAAAAATATATTTTCAAATCGATCATGTAGTTCCTGAGGTTAGCGCATTCAAACAATATAATAATGTAGGTGTACCTCTGTAGGTACCTACCTATTGCATATTATGAAGTATAGAAGAGATTTTGCGTTAGTTAGGTAGGAAAAATGTTTATGAGAGTTTTTTACCCTCAAATAAAGTATTTTCCTTGTAACACCGTGTTATGCTGGATGTCGGAATCAACTTTCAGTATAAAGTTCCTATATAAACAATTCTATAGAATATCTATAAAACTGTAGTCCTAAAAAAGTGTAGGTATATGTCTTGTTTCTGTGTAATTTTTTATTTAAATTGATTGCTCTACGCCTTTACGGTGTATCCTTTTGGGCGAAACCACCACGACATATCTATTACAACTATACATAGAATAAATAAAAAATAAATTGCAATATCTTCGTATAACCATCATTTTCGTTCTTATGTAAAGCGGTTTTTTATCCGACCCTGGCGAAGCCAAAAGGAGAGTTATGATTTTGACCCATATGTGTGTATGTATGTTCATCTGTTCCCTCTTAACTCCTAAACTACTGGGGACAATTTGATAAATGGGGTATGATTAGAAGTGTCTTATTAGTGCGCTAGTTATGGGCTATATGAAATTGTATATGATACCCTCTAGAGGCCAACAAAGTCGTGAATAGAAAATTTTTTCTCTGATTATATCGTGTTTGGTTTATAGCACATTTCAAATATAATACTAGCTAGTATATAATTATTGTCCGGTTGTATAATCAATACATAGTATAAAACAAAGTCGCTTTCGCTGTATGTCCGTATGTATGCTTAGATCTTTAAAACTACGCAACGGATTTTTTTGTTTTTTTTTAATAGATAGAGTGATTCTTAAGGAAGGTTTGTATGTATAATACATGCATATTGCACCCGTGCGAAGCCGGGGCGGGTCGCTAGTATGTTATAAAACTAAACTTAGAAAACTAGAAAATGGCTCGGTCGTGTCAAGTCGTGTGGGACATTGCTCTACATGCATATTAATGGCATACGACCACGGCTATCCTCTACTTATTTTTTTATTTCTATTATTTTGGGGTATAAGAACAAATAACTAAAGTATACTATGGTAATTCAATGAATCAGTATACCAGTAGCACTGTTTCAAACTAAGAAATATCGTTCATCAAAAATGCTTGCCCTTAAACCTCATTTTACAAAGAATGCTGTTTCTTGAGCAGGTTCCGTTGTAAGATTTCTTAACCTGTGTAATTCCTCAACTATTATTACGTCTCATAAGCTATAGATAATAAGATTTTATGTAATAAAGTTTAATAGATAGGATTCTTGAACAATCGGTTGTAATTAGTGTAATTGAAATATTATGTAATTAGCATAATAGATGCCATAGTTTACCAAATTAATTAGTGTACCTAATATTTTGTAATTAGCATAATAGATACTATAGTTTACCAAATTAATTAGTGTAATTGAAATATTTTGTAATTTTAGCATTAATTACAAAATATTTCAATTACACTAATTACAAGCGACTGTTCAAGAATCGTATCTTTTAAACTTTAAAGGGATGATAGCAACAGGGTAACCAGGCTGATTCGTTGGTAACAACGCGAAAATTCTAAATTTTTTATTCTAAAATACCTGAACGTTAACCCGCTGCCATTAACATATCAAACTTCTTACATAGCCACATCGATTTCGATGATGTCAGCCATGTAACATTTTATTAAAGGGTCATAAGTACTAAAAATCAGCGATAACTTTCATTCGTGCCAAGCCTGGGATTTTTCCTTCTCTCCGTGATTGAGCATTAACTTAGATTGAATTTGAGGATACTAGTTTAACATAGAATTGTTATAAAATGACTTCATAGGTGCCTACTAACCTTTCTTTGATTATTCTATGTATAGTAATTGATATAATCAAAAAATCATGGTGGTTTCCGCAAGGAAATCGAATTTACACTTGTAAAGACTTTAGTTATAGGTATAGAAATTTCTAAATACTATTCTTTGTGTAGATACTTTATACTTATTAAAGCAAAAATGGTTCGGCCAGGTTACCTAACATAAATACCATTTCGCTTTCTTTATTATCCTAGTAAAACATAATAGAAGAAGTGGGTCAAAATTAACGGTCACGGTGGGTGCATGTGGACTTCGACCTTTGCTACCTGTTTAGGGGATTAAAACCCATTATGTTACGTTAATACATCAACAAGTGGCCATTGCCGACAAAAGGCATTTTATCGCACGGAGAAGGTTTGAGCATTAATCTTCGCACCTGCTCCATGCGAGTTGGAAATTTGAAACTTATAATGAGAAATTAAAACAAAAATGTAAACAAACATTATAAGATCAGGGGGCTTACTCTTGAATCTAATTCCGATCGATCGACATTGGTATTGTGAAATTTCGTACTCTTGAATTGTAACACTAGCGCCATTAAATACGTATTGCGTGGATATTGAATGAACTAAATGGTATTAAGTTTGGCTTTATATTCCGTACTCTGAATGTTATTTTAACAGCTACGATAGGGGTTGTATAGTTTTGACATTGAATAATAATTGAGATTTTATTGGATTCAAATTGTATTGACGATGAGATTGGTTTCAAGAGTAAGCACCCAGGTTTCCTCACGATGTTTTCCTTCACCGTTTGTTCGTGGTGTTTAACTAATCTTAGAATAGTTAACTGCTTCTTCTTAACTCGGAAATAGTTATATTGGTTTTTGCCGTTAGTAGGTGGCCACCATAAAACACGTTAATACGTCATGTACAAAATAGATATGTTTAATTTTTGTAACCTACACTGCCACCCTCTATTAATCAAAAACACCACGAGGTTCCGGACCGTCCGGTCCTGTGGCGTAATTGCAGGGTGGCAAGGTGATAAA